AATTAAAACCTTGTCATAATGGGTATGTGAGTCATTAGGAAAGTTCTAAAATTTACTCTTTTTCAGAGATTTCATAAGCATATATTTTAGCAATATGCTGGTATTCTCTTGATTGTAATGAGTTAAACTCCCTTGAAAAAAATAACTTCATTTTTGTCGTAGAGTTCCGATCATTCAGGATCAACAACTCCATCATCCAGTCCAGAAACCTTGTCTGTAGGTGCCAGTTCTTCCTCAGAAGGACTGAGGCAACGCACAACCCTTCCACAAGCACAAACTGACCCTGCAGAGAGTCATCAGTTCCCATATGTCATGCAAGGGTGAGTGGCATTGTGGGAGCTGTGCATTGTAATTGGGGGCTCTGAACAATCAGCTAGTCCTGATATTGCAGCAACTTTATAAACTTAGAATTTTATTCATATACCTGATTATGTATCCTGAGAGCTAGAGTTTTAAACAGGGCAGTACTTTTGAAAGTTAGTCATATAGATCAGAGTTATGTAGCCCAGTGCTTGTCAGACTTTAATGTTTATATTAGTCACCTGTGGATCTCATTAGGATGCAGGTTCTGATTGATTACAGCTGATGGGGCCTGAGATTCTGCATTTTTAACAAATTCCCAGATGCTGCTGCTGTTTCTTGGGCCACCTTTTGAGTAGCAAGGGTCTAGATGACTACTTTTTTTATTTTTAAAATTGAGTCTCAGTGTCGATTGAGTTTTCTGAGTGTCCATTTACTTGGAAGTGTATAGGACTCAGTAAACTGGGTTTTAAAAGTTCCACAAGTATTTCAGATCATATGAACACTGAGGTTGAGTAAAATTGTTATATAGTAGAAAGATATTGTATGTTATTCAGGATCTTTGATGTGCTTGAGTTTCTTTGAGTGTTTCCTCTAAAAGCTTGGTGTGGCTCTCGTATACTTGGTATATACAGCAGACTTCTTGGGTTAGGCAGTTCTGGGGGGAAATGCAACCAACTACCACAGGTAAAGCCCATTTCAGAGAGTTGAAGCTTAGAGAATTTCACTAGGGAGCTATTACTTGTAACTTGTGAAGTAAAGGACACATGAGGAATGGGTAGTGGTGATCATTTGTTTTTTTTTAAATTTTTTTATTACCGTTAAAAAAAATTATTAGGGGCTCATACAACTCTTATCACAATCCATACATACATCAATTGTGTAAAGCGCATTTGTACATTCATTGCCCTCATCATT